TCAATCCAGCACCTTCGGGAAATTCTCTGTGGCGGCTATATATAAACGGCATGGAATTGCTGCCGAAAATTGAATTATCGACGGCAATATTTCTTCAATGGTTATTTACTTAGGCTATATATAGCTGTAAGGAATCTAAATTTACGTTAAGTTATAAGTTAAGTTCTTTATTACGTTTTAGACGGCACTCGGCAGCGCCGCAGCAGTGTCCAACATTACGGGTCCCATTTTAGGGCAGCAAACATGCTTATACATGCAATTGAGCTGTGGGACGGCACAAAGAGAGACTTGAAGCAAGTCTATATAAACATTACCCCCCTCTGCAGGCAACTCGGTTGGCAAAAATAGCAGAATTATGCAACAGTTATAATGATGAGGGTATAGCACAAACCAGACGTGCCCATCGCAGAGCCATCCGAATACTTCTGAAAGCCGTTGAATGATACAACTGTTGACTAAACGTGAACTGATAATAGAGCTGCAACAATGACTCATTTACACGCTCAAAAGCCTTAGATATATACAGGCTATATGAATAGTAAATTTGCAAATTGTCGACATTCGTGGCTATTCAGATAGAATAAAACCGTAATTCAGCTTAGGTATATTAGCTGCCATTAGGATGATCGGCACACCTCTACATACTTATCTTCACTATGATGATCTCAAATTCACGAATTGAGTTGTACTAAAATAGCAGATCACAACTGAGACAGGAACTTGATATATATGTGATAGCATGGCATTTCGTCAACTTCAAATTTCAATTAAAATTATTCTGATTTATTTGTAGCTAATTTGTAAATTTGAGCGGATGTCATATCCAATCTAACTATCCGGACTTTGTCAGATATCACAAATTGCGTGAATTGGATATCCAGTAAAGTCCTCATTGTCGGATTTGATATATTGCTGATATTGCGTCTATAGATTGTATTCATGCTAAGCAATAGTTGGTGTTGTGTACTCAGTAACTCAGGTGAATATGATATTTGTGATGTTCTCTGAGTGAATATCCACACCGGGCGAGCTTGAAAAATATGCCCGGCCACGGATACTAGCCCAATGCTCTGCCAACTGAGCTACGCGGTCAGGACGGTTCGAGTAAGTGATATTTCGGAACAGAATGTAGTTCCTTCGATACCAATGTAATCTAGTAATATGATTTTTTCTGTGTTGGTGTTGTGTACTCAGGTGAATAACTGTTTATTTTATCGAGGTATAGTTTTTACTTGTATGTTTATTATTTTTGTACTCAGAATGATGTGATTCAGTATACTATAGGTTCTACTGTTTCTTCGACCTATAAAAGTATCGACATTAATACGCTGCCGTGTTTATATAGCCACTCGATGGTTTATATGAAATAGAGATTAAATCCCTCAACAAATTTCATTCAGAGAATGAAAACGTGTCTGATATTGTATACCTGACTGCAATTAGCTTTAATGCATATGGTTTCATACGAAAACCATGATAATAAACCAATAGTCACTTATATAGTTACATACCTGCTATATAATTAAGTGGTATCACAGTTTATAGAAATGAGAGATATATTCCTGCATGTAAAATTCGCCACAAACAGCTATATTACTATAATATGATGTGTTGTTCTTCCGGCTTCGATACGGATTGAAATTTGATATTCAAATGTGAAACACACTGCATGCCTCCTATCGGTAAATTTCTAAAGTTATGATTAATTCATAAAATTTGAAAATTATTTAAAGCATTAAAAACAAAATACCTCACTAGACACTAGCGCACGATAACATAATAAATTTGGATTATTTTTTTTGTAATAAAATATTTATAAAAATAAAATAAAACTCATACTGTATATCTTACAACTAAAATTATTTATATAGAGTTAATAATATTTTAGGTATTTTAGGAGCACAAAGATTTCACAGGAACCGCATTTTCATGCAGCGCCGCTGGAATAGTATAAGAAAATTTGACTGCGAAATATTTCTTATATAATGTTAGCATGGATTTGTTTCGGATTTCATTATTTAAATTTTCTCTCTTTTTCTGATGTCAATGCAGTCGTGCTTGCATGATATTGAGATACAAAGCTATATATATATAGGCATGTCAACATGGGCTGATTTATGCCCGGCGAAGCAAACAAAAAAAATACAAACGTACATTGGTAATGAAAAACTGTTGCGAAAATACATCAGAGCTGCATACCCCATCAAACATGAAATTCATAAACTGGTCAAACCCAGTGGTCAGACCATATCGTTTTGTTTCAGTGTAATAGCGCCACGATAGTTGGAATGAGGCTTTCATGCACGCAAAATAAAACCGAGTACCAGGTTTTATTCGTATATTTATTAAAATACTTGACCAATTATATATGCTTCAACTTATTTGAAACTATATATCTAGCAGTGAGCCAATATATCTTTCAAGGACGCACTAGGAAATGCTGCACCTTGAACAATGGGCATATAGGAAGCAATTTTTGCCAGAAAAGGGCATTTTTCCCAATGTTAAGGCTTGGGATAAGGGCACATTACATAAAGAAAACCCTTTATATATGACCACGGTTCCCACGCCACTGCATCCTTGCAGTAAGCGCTCGTCGAATAAAGTCGAAACAAGTCGTATTTTCAGTGTTTCACAAAAGAATCCAGTCGCGGCCATAAGGGCCATTACTGAAAACCTCCGGATAACAAAAGAATATGACCTGGCCACATGCAAGGTATCGAAATTTAATTTTAACAAGATCTTTGGGCCCAGGGACCTTTCGATCTTCACGTACTATTTAAAAAACGAGCAGGAGTGTTTTATTAGGTTTAAAGCACGAGCGCGCAGCGCGAGTGGCTTTAGACCTAATAAAACAGGACCTGCGAGTTTTTTAAATGACTTCAAAAACATTTGCATATTAAGTCAAATCTTTATATAAAAATCTTTATATAAAAATCTTTATATAAAAATCTTTATATAAAAATCTTTATATAAAAATCTTTATATAGTTTGCATAACAATTGTCTTTTGTTAAAGTGTTCTTTAGCTGGTATAAAGACGTATGCACGTGACTAAATTCTTACTCAAGATTGGATAATTGCTTCATGAATTATTAATGAGTTTTTGAAAGTTGAATAAAAACCTCCTTCTTGGCCTTTAAAGACACTTCTATAGATGCTTCTGTTGCCACTGCGTTTTAAATATCTGACACATGTGACCCCTATATATATAGAGATGCTTAAAGAAGAGGCTTCCTTAACCTAAAAAATATATTCCAGGATTAAGTTAATGATTGGTACTTGTTCTCCTCATCTCTGGTCTTGCTCAACTCAGTATATGTTGACTCCTCGTCATTTGCAGCCTCATTTCTTGCGGCATTCACTCGTAATGATTGATAATTATCTTCTTTGTTTATTTTTGTAAGATCAAGCTCTTGATAAGTTGTATCAGCTTCAGTTGTCCGTAGTTCAGGGTTTCGTTCAGGTTTTCCACTTCTAAATTTACGATGTGAACACCAGACAATGTAGGAAAGAAGAATTCCAATGACAATTCCAGACACCACTGATACCGCAACAATGTACCATTCAGTACCACAACTGGTGTCACTTGAAGATGGTTTGCCTAATTATGAAAAACATTGGAACATATTAGAGAGCACTAGCTGCAGTAAAACAACGTGCAGAGGACCTTGCGTGGTGAGGATGGAATGTCTCCATTCCTGAATACTCGAGCAAAAGTATAATGGAATTAGCCAGAGAAGCGAAAGTATATTTTGTTTGTTTGTTTCGTGTTTGCCGTCTCTTGTTTTCGTCACTCACTTATCAAAAATAAATGGCGAACAATTAGGAGAGTGAGTGATAATACAATAAAAATAAATTAGTTTCCTATTGGATTAGATAAGATTAACGATGAATTCAGCACGAGCATGGACGGATCAACGCATTAATTTGGAGTTTTTCAGCGACTTGATGTGTGTATAAGCTACCATTGTTGATTTTAAGAAACTTATTCACGAGCAAATTTTAATTCTTATTGTTATTATTTAGGTACAAAGTTCTATACATGTGGAATTGTGTTTACCTGTTTGATTGCCTTGCTTCGTTGACGTTCTTGGTAGACGTGTCGTTGATGGCACTATATTTATCAAAATAAAAAATATAAACCATAAAATAAAAATCAATCTGTTCTTTATCCTTATAGTATACCCCAGTTTGGAGCAATTCTTACAAAAAATTCATACTCAGATGGAAAATGTTACCTCCAGGGAATATATATTTGGACAATGAAGAACTTCTTCCCAGTATATTTACTGCATCACACGTATAATTTCCAGGTATGGTATACGTCTTGCCCCTCATGACCAATTTAGTTTTGTTGAAAAATATTTCAAATCTTGCTGGAGGGCGAGCTTCACCACCGTCACATGTTATGGTAAGTGATTTAGCATCATAATTCAAACGTGTACTTTCTGGTGAATCTATACGAAGAAATTTGAGTTTTATGATGTTATCTCAGGTATGGTTTCGATACATTATTTTCCTAGATTACTAACTTAAGGACCTTCAAACAGAACGTATACAATGTCATTTATTGGGCCGTTTTCAGCAATTCGTATTAACTATATATCAAAGATTTATAATAGCTAAAAGTCATCGGACGACATCATCAACAAACTATCGAAAACACATAAGTTATAAGACTTATAAAGCTAGTTTGGTTTTTATTCAGTCACAACAAAAAAGCATGTTCATTAAAGTTTTTGGCCATTTTTATAACCCGCAAACTCAAGTTAAGCTGCCGAAAACATTTTTGTGGCTTTGGGATACACTATACACTTGTATGCTCTACTATCTATTCCATACAATGTTCCATGTCATTGCATTCCGACCTCGTTCTATGTTTTATGTCACTGCATTCCGACGAATTCAGTTACACAATCTTTCAATTGAATCGTCAGTTATTTACCTCTAATTCTACACATGCAGTTATAAACATACAGTTACACTGCAAGAATACATATTTATTTAAGCTAATATAGGGTTATATAGGCAGCACTAGTACTAGGCAGCCGATCAATATTTAAATAGGGCCAAAAATACTGTGTAATGCGGTCTGATATGAATCATACTTACAATTAACTTCTACTTTGATTGATTTTTTATCTGCAAATCTGTCATCGGTGTGGCTTCGGGCTTTACACTCGTATGTCCCACTGTCTGTTCTACTGACGTCACTTAGACTTAATCTTTGTTCTTCTTTTCCTGTTCCACCAATGTGCTTGCCATCTTTATACCAAGTTACATCGGCTGGAGGGTTTCCACCTTCACCTCTACATACGCATGTGAAGTCATCACCTTCATTTACTGTGGTACGACTGGGACAACTGAACGTCACATTTGGTTTTTCTGAAATGTAATGATGCCCTGTACGGTAAGTCGATCTGAAAATGATTTCGTTGGGTTAGAGTAAAGCTGACAAATACCTAACGAAAAATCAAAGAATAAAAAAATTTATGAAAGAGACTTATTAAAGTTGATAAATGTTCAGCATTCACTCAGCATTGTATTATTTGTCTGCAAAAAAATTAGCTTCCAGTTTTTTGTAAAAATTGGGCTAACTTTCAAGTGACACCCGTGACGCTTATGGTTGTAATGTTTACATGTCAAAAGGAATCCTAGTGATATTTTCTTATGGAGCTCCAGTGTACAGAACTGCATTCTGAGCATTATCCAATATAATTTTTCAGAACTTTCCAATGAATGTGTAGAATTACTCAGTCATATACATTAACATTTTCAGTTCTATCCTGAAAATGTAACCGCATTTCTTTCATTTCCATTCAATCTGCATTTTTAACTCTGGTATCAACATTTTCTATCATGTTTAATTTAATTTGTTACCATGCAAGTAATGTCTGAATATAATCATTGTCAGACCAAATATCAGAATATGCAAAAATATTCAGTCTTGCAAGCCTGCTGCATAACACAACATTGTAAAGTTGGTAAGAAACAAAACATTTGAAGATGCTCTCTCGATAACCATGTATGCCAAAAAGCAACCCTTTAAGGCTTGATTTCCATTCAGTACAAAATGTTGTGCGATCGACTTTTTGCGATCGCTTTCTTTTGAAATGTGTGCAGTCAATTACAGCAAATGAAATTAATTGTTCCGCTTCACAGTTTGTATTTCAAAAGCAAGCGATCGCAAAAAGTCGATCGCGGAACATTTTGCACTGAATGGAAATCCGCCTTAAAAATACTCATAAAAATGTTATATAATATTGTACAGCAAAAACAATATTTCTGTTGTTGAAAATAAAACATTCGACGATGTTGTCTCCATAAAAATATTATACCGGAATTTTGCGAAAACCTGCGGCTTTACTTGATTATTTAAATTAAACTTGCCTGCAATAAAAACAACAACACGAAAGTTACCACCTACACCTGTTGCTAAAAGATGAAACCTGTATTTTCCATTATAACGTTTATCAACGTTATTTAAAACCAGTGTTGCTGGCTTTTCTATTGTAACTCCAGGTAACGTGTTGTTTGGTACTTCCCTAGGATCACGATCAACAAATATTCTTGCAATTACGCTTTCTGAACCGTCGCTGCCCGTGAAATACCAAATCCGAGCCTGCACTGTATTGATATCGTTACCAAATTTCCATTGTATTTTGGCTATTGACCCAGGTAAAAAAGTAAAATTTGTTCCATCAAGTGGTGAAGTGATTTGTCCTAAACAACACAAACATTTTCAATGCCGTTTCAAAGACTGATAATATCAGAATTAAAGAATAATAGAGCTAGAAAGTCCAGTTGGCGAGCATTACCCATAAGTCCTTGTATATGTCTGATATTTCGTAGACAGTGTAATAAAATACGACTAATGTGCCAAAAAAAGAATATATAGAGGATATTACACGGCGGCGCGAAGATACGACTTTTTATCTTCGAGTGGTGAAAACAATATTTTACGAGTGAGTAAAATATTGTTTTTAACACGAGAAGATAAAAGTCATATCTCCAAGCCAACGTGTAATGTTCTGTTTATTATATAGTCCGAAGCAAAAAATTGTATAAATACTAAAAGTCACGTGATCGATATCCTCACTGGTGAAGATATGGAAAATATGTCCACATATTTTTCAGTATCTCACTCTCTACTATGTAATAAAAAGTCCTATACCTTCACATGGAAACATCACAAAATTCAGAGCAAATAAATGAACAAAACTAAACCCCGTCATCATCTTATGCAAGTTAAACCTGAAAAAAAAGAAACCATTAATTAAGAACACAAGAAACCATCAATTTCATGGAGGTTACCACTGCTGCCAGTTGCGTTGTAGTTCCCAAATCCTTCTGATTGCAGCGGGTGATGGAGGTTTTGTTCAGGGCCTTTTTTAAAGATTTTCCCATGGAGGGAAGGGGATTTTTTGAAAAGGGACCTTTCTGTGAGATAATATATTAGAGCGGGATAGCAATGGCCGAAGACCACGTGTGTGGCCGACATACCACGCATGAACAGGGGGATCTGGAGGCATACTTGAAACTTGACGACCGGAAATGCATTTCCTGCATTTTGAGCACCCAAATTTGCCCTAAAATTTATGCTATAACTATACTTCTATTTGAAATAAAAGAAGGAAAACAAACGCACAAAAAGTAAAAAGAAATATTGACCATAATTTATCATTACTTATTATAGAGAACACGTGTGTGGGGCCATACTTTCGCAGAAAATTTTTGAAATTTGAAGCCCGGAAATGCAATTTCCTGCATTCTGAGCATCCAAATTTGCTCTAAAATTTATGCTAACTATACTTGTATTTGAAATAAAAGAAGGAAAAAACGCAGAAAAAATTTAAAAAAATTATTAACAATAATTTTTTATCGAAAAATGTAACAATTTAGAAAAATGTAACAATTTAAATCGATTTTGTTAAACAAGGACAAAGGATAAAGCCTATAACTACTTACGGATGTCAAATGTATTACTATGCACCAGTATTCCAGCGATATGGTCTTTGAAAATCAAGCGAAATTGTATTGTTGACAAATCGCTCGCAGTACGTATTGTTGATATACCATGCACAATAACACTGTTACAAGTGTTACACAGTGTTAAACAATGTTATATATTCTTACATAGTGTTACACAGTGTTACATAGTGTTACATATTGTTACATAGTGTTACACATTGTTACATAGTGTTACAGAGTGTTGACAGTGGCACATAGTGTTACATAGTGTTACACACACTAATCCTATAACCCTAACTCCACCGTGTTACATAGTGTTACACACACTAAGCCTAACCCCACCCCTAACCCTAAATAAAGATAGTGTAACACTTGTAACACTGTTACCCGAGTATATACTGGATAATACACCCTAAATCATGCATCATATGATTGTTGACAAATCGCTCGCAGTACGTTTCATAGTGTATTTGTAATGCCTAATGGCGCAATAAGGATAAAAATACCACCGTTCGATTCAGCGTTAGAAATTGGCCTATTTACGGATGTCAAATGTATTACTAAACAACAGTATTCTAGCGATTTATGGCCTTTGTCGTGGAAAGCCAAGCGAAATTGTATTGTTGACAAATCGCTCAAAATTATTAAACTAATTAGTACTCATGCAGTATGTTTGATCCTTGATAACTTTGGTATCATTAGTTTTCTCTTTTTCGGCCGTATACCAGTCGATTCGTCTTACTTCTTTCTTCATTTTGATAGTATTTTGAGCCCAAAATATTTTATTTTGAACGTTTTAAAGCACAGTTTAATCCTAGCGAACGGACCAACTGGCGGCTGACAGTCTTGAAGAATGTAGCGTACTATTAAATATAACTTTACTTGTAAGGTCTACCTACCGCATTTTAGTACTATGTTAAGCCTTTTACGCTCGTATTCGACTTTTCCGCTTAGCTCGGGGAAAACCTTAAATTTTAATTGAAATAGCTGTGTACTGTATGTATCATGTACAGTAATGTGCGTATTTGTATAGCCCCAGCGAGTTAACGCTCCGTAGAGCGTCTTGTTTATATTTATTCCGCTCCTAAATCAACTGACTGGAATTTGGAAGGTAAATTCTGATTGGTTGACGTAGCGGAATTCAGTTTGGCGCTCGGGTAAGCAGACGTTAGTTTTTCGTCGCTTGGCGTTACTGAATAACAGCGTCTGCGAGCAGGCTGCAATCGAACTGGCTTGGATGGAAGAATAACAAGGCCGAATTGTTGACAACCGACACGGGATGACAAAATGGCGCCGAATTTGGACAAAGTTGAGCTAATACCTTGTCGATGGTTAAACAGCTAGGATCTACTTGAAATCCAGTTAAAACTTGTTTAAAATGTGCTTGATACCGTTATGTTTGAGCTGAATTGCATATTTGGAAGGATTTCAACGAGATATGCGATAAACAGCTGAGAAAAGTGGAGAATTTGGCCAAATACGTCCATTTGCAGGAGTTAGTTACATTCCAAATTATTATTTCGGTCACAAAATATTAACTATTTTACACAAAAACAGTGATAATATAATTAAATAAGTACCAATTATGTTTCTATCAAAAAGATTTAGGAAAAAAGGTAATATATAGGTCCACTGCTGTTTATCTGAAGTTGCAAGCCACAAATTGACGTTTGACTATGAGTATTGCATGGTCATTTTCTTGTGAAATATTAGTGCTAGGCATTTCACACTTACCAATGACCACCCCTAAAACACCATCTCTCAACTGATCTCTGGACCATATAAGCACCTCAGAATAGCCAAAGCTTTTATGGTTTGGTGACAGCACTTTGATGAAAGCGTCATTTTTGGGTGTGGTCAGTTTCAGACGTTTCGTCCCGGATTGAGGTTCGGGCAGCGTTACCATGTTGACCGTCATGGTCAACTTGCCATAAAACAGTTGAGATTATCTGTCCTAAATGAAATGCATACAAACTCATATACAGGTCCTAGACTATATTGACTATGGGTAGCTTTGACGTCAGGTCGTAAACAAACAAGTGTATATAAAGACAACGACGTAAACGAGTTTCACTTCGAGAATCATGGAATACATCCACTGCAGTTCTCGGGGAAATCGCATACATGAATGATGTTGAATGATGTTATCCTTTATATCGCGAAATTTCGGTAAACTTGTCAATAACTTGAAAGGATATAAAACGAAATACTTCACTATCGAAGTTTCTGTTATCAAAATCGACAATGACTTTAATCACACAAACGTTGACCGTGTAAGCGAACCTTTGAAGTTCAGAAGATATCTCTATTTTCCGCAAGTTGTCCGTTCGTCAAACTGTCCGTTCTGCAAAATGTCCGTTCGGCAAAACGTTCGTTCGGCAAAACTTCCGTCGGCAAAATGTCTTTCGGCAAAATGTCTTCGGCAATGTGTCTTTCGGCAAAGGGACTTGGTAAATTAATAAAAAGTCAAACGTGTATTCTCTGCAAATCACGGGCCTTTTGGCTTTAGCCTACTCAGCCTAATTGGTAATCCGCCACTGTAATTTCGATTGAAATTTCCATCTACAAGAACCTTTCAATGATGCGCACATAATACGCCTTTTTGTCTTGCAGCAGTCAAACATTATCCACACACTTCATGTGGAAATGTATACTCTATTTGTTTAAACCAATCAGAATAAAGAAATTTGTCGATTCCTGAAAAAGTAGGGTAGAAGGTATAGCATAATGTACAAACGAAAACTATACCTGCAACAAACACAGTTATATACATCAGATTCAGTAGATTTACCCTTTGCATAAATAGTAAATCTGTTCTGTATGTTCCATTGTACTGGATATTAACTTTCTTTAAAATCAATGTTGAAGGCCTTCTTATTGTAAATGGCCCAGGTGAGTATTGGGTGTTCATCTCCTAATCTCCATCATGCATGAATAATTTCAGCAAAAGTGTCGTCGTCCTTTAGCAGGAATGTCCATACTCAAACAGTTAAATCAGATCCACCGATATTAAGTTTCCACGCCATTGTCACATTAATTTTCTCCGGGAGGGAGATTTGACCTACACATTGCATGGAGTTTTATTTACAATCAATGCATCCTATTAAAAAATTAAATTGTCCAAGAGCAATCTCTTTTCATGTATGCAAATAGGGTGAATTGTTCCTGAAATGGTCGACACTCCCCCCAAACCTGTCATGCATGGAGAGGCGAGTGGGGGGGGGGAATCTATGCATGATAATAGAAAAATGTACGACGATGTCTGTCCAACATCTTTCACGTTGGAGGTTATAATGCGTCATTCGAAAAAACATCCACACAATTCACCGTTCTCCAACGTGAGATATGATATAAGGACTTTTTGCCCAATCCCCCGGGGGAATAAAAGGAGGAAAAATAGCATCAACAGAACATCAGCTAGTTATAGCCTATGTTCTCTATATTAAGTTGCATGGAAGCTTGTGCGTATGTCAAAGAACGGTGACAACTTATTATCACTCTTCTGCCTAGTTTAATATAGTCCTTTAATACCTTCACACTGCTTGTGCGTATGTCAAAGAACGGTGACAACTTATTATCACTCTTCTGCCTAGTTTAATATAGTCCTTTAATACCTTCACACTGAATAACAAAAAATTGAGACCAAATAAAACGGCAAAAATTAAGCCAGTCATTTTATGGAATTAGTCTATATGAAACAAAAAAGTATTAAGATATTAATCAATTTGTGGTTGTAGAAGGATAGTACATCTTGATCTTATACATACAGTAAGGCGAGCACTTCAGATTAGACTTTGTAATTTTCTCCAGCACTTCGAGGTGTGGTTAGAAACATTTCATGATTTATTGGAACTGAATTTAGAATGCCGCTAAATTAGATATATACATACGTAATTTTTCAACTCGATGTATTTGAAATGTAAGAAACATTAAAGACATCTTTCATACACTAAATAACTGCGTTTGAAAGAGGTTTTATCTACTGATTTGTGCCGGGACATTAATATCTTATGTAACTTTATATCCTTCCGAACTAAACTCTACAGAAATGTAGGCGGACTTTCTGTCCAGAAAATTAAACATATAAAAACACGATAAACAAAAGCAATACCCAAGTGGTCTGAAGTTAAAATATGCACATGACCCTTTAGGTCTTACTTTCAGGCAAGCTATTATTGAAAACTTCTGGCCACTGTAATCATCCGTAGCCTAGGACTTTTTTAGATAGCCATGCACATGCATAGAAGAATTTGCTCAAATATAACAA